AAAAATCATGTTTTAAAAACTCAAATTCCCTTCTGCATTTGGAATGGTTTTGTCATCTTTAAGATGTCTTTCCTATTCATGTGTTTTCCAGAATCTAGTTCTATAGTTAAGTTGAAGAAAAGCTACTGAACTTCTAAATAAACTGTCTAAAAGTAAGAAATAGTATAGCTTTTGGTAATTCTTGTGTGGAGAGTATTTTCCTCCCTCTCTCACCTCCTCCAGCAACTTAAGTCCAGGACAAGTTTAAAAAACAAAACCAAAATAGCCCCAGAGCTTTGGACTGTTAGTATTTTCAATTAGCTGAATTTTCAATAAGATGTGCATATAGCAGTAAAGAACTAGTTGAATAATGGTTGAAACTTTTTATTTCTTCTACACTCTTGCTATGATGATATATTATGGAAAATAAAGTTTAATTGAGAGATTCTGATAACTTTACCAGTACTAGAAGGCTGTTTAGCATGTATGTATCATTACTAGAACTACATGCTGGCCTTTAACTTACAAACAATGTTAAATTACAAAGACTCACTAAGGGATTGTCTTCAGAACTGTAATGGGTTTATTTTTCATCATACCTTATAACACGCCTGCCATGCTGTTAAGCAGCTTATTTGGAAGCATGGACTTGGGGATATAGTGTATGTATAACAACTTCTAAAGCTGAGTACAGTTTCACTGCACAAACCTGTTTACTTGTCTCTTGTTCCTGTAATGATCTTGCTTATTCTTTTACCTGAAACAAAATTGGCAGAGTTAAAAACCTGCTAGGAAAATCTTGGTATTTATTGGGACTTAAAACAGCTGTTATTGTAGAATCTTGAGATGAGGAAATCAATACATCAGTGAAAAACTTGAGTTGTGAATTTACTGTAGTAACTTTCTCTCCTGAGGAAGATACTCACATGGTTCTTTTTAAAATATAGCTGTACAACTATAAGCACAGCTAAAAGAACTCTGCATTTATCAAACAGTGAACTTGGCACAGAGCAGTGTTTATTCTATAGCATATTAGAATTATTTTGTTGCTTAAAAGGAAAAAACATAATAGAAAATAGTTGTTTCTAGAGTGGAATTCCTTACAGACAGGTGAAATGGGAAAGCAGTGCACTTGGAAGTGGGGGGAAGAATATTACTGCTGAGGAGGAAATGAAGGCATGAAATGGTTGAAATTTGGAAGAGATGGTATAAGAAGCTGGTGGCTGAATCAGAAGTGGGATCTAAATCTGGATTGTTCTTATGATTAAGGACAAGATAACTTTCTTGCATCAAAGACAAATTGGAATTATCTGGTATAAAGGCATTTATTCTTTTCCTTTATTGCATATAGCAGGTGAATTTTTAGGCAACTAACAGCAAAAGCTTTTATTTTATGCAGACATTTAATTTTGACGTTCGACAACTACATTGGGCAGAATACATGGAAAATTACTGCATGGGAACGAAGAAATATGTGCTGAATGAAGAAATGTCTGGCCTCCCTGCAGCTAGGAAACACTTGAATAAGTAAGTATAAATTTTTATATCCCTTTGTCTATATCTTCTGTATTTTCCTGCCCTTGTCAAGTTTTGCTTTTCGATGTCATGACTTAATTGTTCTTTATAGCACCTGTTTAGGTCTTCCAGAATTCTTCTGTTCCATTCCAGTGGTCTGAAGTGTTTTCTAAAGAAGTCAGATGTCATCCATCTTGTTCTATTTGTTGCTTCTGAGTTGCTCTCAGTATTAATAGTTACAGCATGAGTCTGGGATTATGGTTGTAGCTCTGATCACTAGTGTATACTGGAATCCAGGTTTCCGATTTTACCCAAGTATCTTTTGGAAGGTAAAAAGGCACACAGTAACACAAGGTCAGAATGGCTTGTTCAGTTAAGGAGGTTTAATAGAACAATAGTTGTTTCTTCTGGGAATGTGATCTTTTGAAGCAGGTGAGTAAACAGACATGGACTTTCCACCTCAGAGCAGGAAACTTTGATGTTGTTGCTCTAAGATTACTTCTCTTAGCCTTTTATCTGTGGCTTAACTCTTCCAGTTTTAATGCATTGTTACTGTCCAGAATTTTACTGGCACGGTTGTCCTTGTTTTGGTCTTGGCTGATTCATAATGACAGTTATAGACTTTTTGATTTATCTCTTGAAAGAGTGAAATAAGTGATTAATCTTGTTCTGCAGTACTACTTCACATCTGCTATCCTGATAGCACAGAGAGAAATGGTCTAGGTCATTAATTATGTGATTCTTCTAAAGACAAGGATTTGCAGTTGTAGAGTGGATTGGCATGATATGTTACAATCTCAAATACGCTTTTGAAAGATGGTAATCTTTGAGAATGGTGGGGATAGCTGAAGAGGTGTCCCCTTCTGATTTTTTTTTTTTAATTTAGATGCTGTTAAATGCATAGGAGTTATCATACAGTTGCCATTCTTTGTACAAAGGATCATACCAAAAATAACATGAGAAATAGTCATGTATTGGAACAGCATCTGGTTGCCCCCAGCTCTCTGTTTATAAGTGGATTATTTTGCAAGAGGTTTAGATTCTAACATATACTTACTCTGAGGTATTAAGTTGGTCTCTTCTGTCACCATCTAGCTCTCAATTCTAACTAATCTGAACTACACTGTTTTTCCTACAAATAAGGAAGGAAGGTAGACCTTCCTACTAGAGGAAGGTCTGGCTATAGTAGCACCCAGCCTACCTGTAAAAGAAGATAAGGGCAGTGAGTATTTCCTTAAAAAGAGCTGCCTTTAAAATACAGATTGTCATGATCCACTGAACCAAAGGGATTACTCTGTTTCTAAGAAATCTGAGCAAATTCTGGTTGCTGTTTGTCTTGAAGCTTCCATCTTTACATGTGAGAAGATTGCTAAAAGTCACAGTTGCCCTAAAAGGACACTTAGTTTCTCCTAATCTTTAAATATAGCTCCCTGAGAAGGAATGAGTTTAAAATTCCAGTGAAGACTCCAAGCTCTGTGGCTGGAAAATACTGTGATGTGGTTTGGTTTTTTTTGTCAGTGGCAGTTGGAGTTACATCCACATATATAAAGTTTTAAATATGTGGAGGGGAGTTCATAGTGTTAAATATTTCCTTGTCTTTGGGGTGGATGGCAGCCTTCTATAGGTAAGTGTGACCTTGGCTTTAAGAGATTTTTATCAAGCAGCTATAAAGCAGAAGTACATGTGGTTAGTTACGGCGCTGGCTCTTTTCCTTAGTTTTCATGCGTTCCACTTTTCAGCAGTGAACTATGGAAAAGCCTTATCTGTTTGGTCCTTCATTTATTAGCTTCCGTCATTCACTTAATACCACTCACAATCTATCTTGAGATGAATAGATGAACAAATTAAATTCTACCTTAGAAGTTAATTTTTACAGGAAAAAAGAACACTCTAAGTCTTGGTACCTTGGCTTTTAATTATTCTTTTTGTTTTTCCCTAGGTTAAGGAATATACGCTATGGCTTCAATACAGTTCTTGTGATCCTGATCTGGCGTATCTTTATTGCAAGATCACAAATGGCAAGAAATATCTGGTACTTTGTGGTTAGTCTGTGTTACAAGTTCCTCTCCTACTTCAGAGCCTCCAGTACTATGAGATACTGAAGAAGAGAATTTAGCATTAGGACATCTATGCATATGGTGGTCTAACTGCACAAAGCCTGTAACATGTAGTCATCTCACATTTTGTAAAAGCATAATTTCATCTTAAATTGGAGTGCGAAATATACAGTATAGTATATGTAATGTTAGTTGTGTATCTTCCTGGAAACAGAGGAAAATAAAATGGTCAAGTGCCAGGGTGAATTGGCATTAGACAAGCATTTAAATAACTTTAACTCTTTGACCTGGAGAAAACATTTTAGACCACTGACCAACATAACTGTGCAATTTGGAACAAGTTTGTTTGAAATCTGCCTTAACATGATTTTTTTAAGTTTTACTCCACATTGAGCAAGATAAATATTGACTTAGTAGTTGCTAGTTGCTGTAGACCTATTTATTTGAAATTTTTCTAAATTACAAAGGGTTATACAAGTTGCAAAAGTGTATAAATGATGGTGGATCTCCTGAAAAAAATTATTTGAGGACTCTTTAAATTTGTCTTTACTTTTCGCTACTTCTTCCTTTGTCAAAGTAGGGATGCAACTATGGTGCCTACTTTGCTTTAAACGAAAAAAAATAAACCACCCAACCTTCCTTAATTACTGAAAGGCCTTTTGTTCAATCTGATCTTCAGAATGCACTTAGTGATTCAGTTCTGTGCTAAAACTGGCTGTGTCCAACTTGCATTTATTTCAGCATGAACAATTTGCTTCTCTGAAAGCAGAATTGATCCTGTCATTGAGCAGATAAAAGGAAATGTAACCCTGGGGGGGGCAAAAATAAAGTCATTGACCGTCCTCTTTTTTTAATGATTTTTATTGAGAACACAGAGCCAGCACTTGATTGTTACACTTCTGACTTCAAAAGGTAAATGTATTTGAAAGGAATTTATTATGCTTAGTTGCTATTTATATTACTGGTAATAGTAGTTGGGCAAAACTGTATGCTTTCATTAAGAGATATACCTGTTTTTAAATTCTAAGCAATGTTAGCAAATAATTCCTGAATTAATAATTTTTTAAATCTCTGAGCTATGAAATTTGATGCATGGACACCACCAATGCATAAGCATACTTTCTCATCCCTGCCCCAGTAAAACCTCTCATTTCACTGGGCAAGCAGAGCAAGATGCATCTTGCTTCAGAATGAAAGTATGTTAACAATTCTTCCATCTATCTTTTAACTAAATTATTAGGTTTAAATCTGAAAAAATCTGTTTTTTCCGCATGTTACTTTGTTTCAGTAGGGAAAACATTTGTGAAAATAGCAAGTTGTAAGAAAAGATTGAATCCTTGTTTAAGGCAATATGTGAAGATCCCTTTAAATTTTGGTTGCACAGAATTCTATCTGAGAACACTGTAATGTTCCTCTAATTGATGCACTGACCAGCACCCTTGCCCAGTGTGTGTTCATTAAAATCAGTTTATACTGATTAATATGTTCTTGAATCTGCTTGGAAAGGCAAATAATGACTTAATCACACAAGAGCTACATTATACTTGCCCTTGGTAGTTTTTTGTCCTATTTGAATTAAGTATGTAAAGAACTTATTTTGCTATTTTTGTGAAAACTCTTACTTTAAAGAGAGCACCTTTCGTGCAGGTGTATATCTCATTTTGAAAAGATAATGGCTTCCTTGCTGAAGCTCAATATTCTGTAGTAAGTAGTTAAGCTGTAATTCCTTTTTAAAACTACCTGTGTATATATAAAGCTAGTGATGAAAAACCTAAATGGTCTAGGACCACACCTTGTGTGAGAGACCTCTGACTGTGGCTGAAAATAAATTATGGCTTCGGTGATTGAAGATGTTACACTTTAACAAGTACATTAGGTGTATTACACTTTTAGTTGCCTCCCCAAGTATATTACTAGACCTGAAAGTATG